GCAATGACGACAACTTTTAGGCAAAAAATGGGCATGAGTGGTGATGCCATAGAGGCGGAAGTCGGTGGTGCTCAAACTTTCTTTTTAGCCAAAAGTGGTGCTCGAACTGAAAAAAATAAAGAACGAATAAAATGGTTTATGAAATGAAAAAAATATTTTTTTTATTAATAAGGCTAGCTAAAGCTAGGAGTTAAAACAAAACACAAAGATAACTAGTGTCTATGGGATAGAACCCCACTATAGCCACCATGAAATTTCATTTAGGAAGACCACTCTGTTAGCGGAGTTTTAAGCGAGTTGAGCCAAGCGATCAGCACATGTCATCGCTTCCCTAGGAGCATGCATCAATGTAAAATCTGTATGTGCAAACAACATTTCTTGTACTTCTAATATTTTCTCAAAAAACGGATGAGTGTTGCTTACTCCTCTATAAATGCAATTGATTGCATCCATTGAATCTAAATATATCAAAGCCTTTTTGATATTGAGGATTAAACAAAGATGGATCCCATGTTTAATGGCTTTTAGTTCAGCTATGGTGATTGGGAGGTTACCAAATTGCATTTAAATCCGCCTAACCATTCACTTGAAGAACTTCAGCCCAGCCCCCTGCATGATGCATTATTATGTTGGCCTAAGAATATGCATCTGCATCAACTCGTACACTGCCCAAAGGTGGTGCACTCTAGTGATGTCCATAATTTCCTGTTCTATTTCTATGTGTATTTGAAGAGCTGCCAAATCCCTCTCCTCCACAAGTTTCCTTCTACACGCATTGATATTATCCTTGGAAGTATGTTGGGTGCCTTCAAATCTATCCTTACATTTGTGCACCCACAATAGCCAGCAAAAGTTACTAAAAACTTTGATCCAAGGCCAATTTCGAAAACGGCCTCCTCTAATTTGGTGGTTTGCGTTCCATCTAATCCATTCCTGTACGTTACATGAGAAAACATTGGTCAAGATAGATAGGATTAATAATTTCCTTCCACGTGTTTTTGCTCTTGAGCAATATCTCAAAATACGTATTATGCTCTATTCCTGATCACACTCAAACGGGCATGAGGCATTTATGGTAAAACCCCTTCTCACTCTTAGTTGATTATTAGAAATGAAAAAAAATATGAAATTAAACAATTGCGCTTGAGGACTAAGAAAAAGGGGAAAATGGAGTCCCATGGGAACTTGTAGTAGACAAATGCCATAAATGGAGAAAATCGAATCAGATAATGCTCCCGTGTAAGTGGTGATTTACAATTTGAATTTGAAAAAAAGTGCAAGACGGGATATTAAAAGAAGGAAACATATTAAATGAAATCAAACCAATCAGAAAGTAATATTTACATGAGACTAAAGTGCATCAACCAACTAGAGTGAATGTTTTTTTGGCCAATCAAATTCATTCTACAACATTTGTATGATATAGATGATGATTGACTGATAAAAATCAAATATTTAATAAATATTAGTTTGATGATTTCATAAAAAAATAGTAGTATTTAGAAAGTATAAAATAAAATAAAATAAACAATTACATTTAAATAATTATACAAATAAAAATATAAATAATTATATTTTTATTTTCCAAATCACATATATTTTTTTATTTTATTTTAAATTTTTTGTCCCAATTATATCGAAATATAAACTATATTTTATTTTAATCCATGAATTTTATTCTAAGATGTATTATAATTTGCCGATTTAAGAAAAGTGTATATTTTTAGTTTTGTTCGTGTTATCCACAAATAAATTAAAAATTAAATAATAGTATTCTGTAGTTTATAAGTTATAATCTGTATATATTAAAAATATATTAAAAATAACTTAGTTTATTTTAGAATTCCTTATTGTTGTACATATTAAAAATATAAACAAAATTTTTTTATTTCTGCATAAATTACTTTATAATTCGTTATACATTGTATGTTAAAAATATGAAAAATAATTTGTTATCCTGGGATATGTTATCCCCACATAAACTAAAACTTAAATAATAATGTGCAAATTAAAATTTAAGAAAATCATCGAAAAAAATAAAATCTAGATAACAAATTGTTCGATCTTGTAAATTGTTATTATGTGCCAATTAAAATGATAGATATTATATTTTTATTTTAAATTTAGTATCAAATATGGTCAAGATGTTATTGTCATATTTCCCGCAAACAATATTGGGTTGCTTAATTTCTTTTATGCAAAGTATACTTATTAAAAAGTAAAAATGACAATATTACAATTCAGTGAAGTATTTTTATATTTTTATATGATTATTCGATTGGGTAGGCTTGAATATTGTTAAGCTGAGTTAACTTGACCTTTAAAAATATTTTTTCCATTTATATGGACTTAGTTAACAGCTCTATTTGATAGTTTAACTGATTCAATTTTTAACTTTATTTGATTCGATAGGAGGAAGAGAAAAAAAGGAGGGGAGGGGATAAGAGATGAGGGGAGAGGAGGGAAGGGAGGGGAAGGAGGGAAGGTGAGAGGATTCTCCAATTTGAGAGGAAGGTTTTAAAGAACCAAACAGACCTTAAAATAAGAAATTTTGAGTTCAATGCCCATGTAACCTGAAAAACGAAAATTATTATTATTATTATTACTATTATTATTACTATTACTATTTGCTGTGTACAGTGGAATTGTGCATGTGTGTTTTCTTTTTTTGCGCGGAAGTTTTCGATAGGATAGGGGGGAAAAAACTATCACCACAATAATAGTAATATCTGAACTATAAAAAATAAATAATTCAAAAATAGTGTAATTTTTTAGTATTAAATTTTTCCAATGCACATTGTTTTCAAAATAAACTTTAAATCACTACCTTTGATCTATTGAGAGTTCCTAACAAAGAATTTCACGAATATGGTATGCAGTTTTTCAAATTATTTCAAAATATATTTAATTTAAGAAAAACATATTCGCTGCGTAGCTCCGGCCTGTAAGGTAAACAACGGTATTTTTCTTTTTCGCTTGACAAACTAACCGAAGTATTAAATAATAATTTTTTAAAAAATTAAAATTTAATTGGAGCCCTGTACGGCTATACTTAGTTCTTCCCAACAAAATTTGTATCAGACATGCAACAATCACTGGAGTAGATACTAAAAACCTAACCATGTGCTTGGCTGGCCGGGGAGAAAAAAAGAAGAGAAAATGAAGAGGAAAAAAAAGAGAGAGAGATATAATTTTATTTCATTGTGCTTGGCTGAATGAAAAAAAAACTGAGGGAGAGAGAAAAATTATTAATTTTATATAGATAATAATAACTTTATTATTTATACAAATATTTATAAAATAAAATTTAACATTTTAACATATCATATGTATAATAATTTTTAACATATATTATTGACCGGACAAAAGCATAATTAAAAATTATTTTATCCAATATTGACAAAAAATATTTTATCCAATTCAAAATTTTATTTATTAAATTATTAAATATATAATATTTTAATTAAAAATTAACCTGAAAATTTAGAACTAACATTTGTTTAATTAGTCTAAAATTTAAATATACTGTTTGTTTAACAAAAGTTTATACTTAAAATATAACTACACTATAAATATCATGATAAAAATAGAGGAAAGCAAGAGGTGGCAATAAAAAAAATTAGTGGGCAAATTTAAAAATAAAATTTTCTTTTTAAAATCTTGCTTGGAGAAAAAAGTTAAGGTAAATATATGTGAGTCTTATATTTTTTTTTTTACTTTTTTTTTCTCTTCACTTTTATCTCCTCAATCAAGCAGACAAAAATGTTATTTTCTCTCTGTTTTTCCCTCCTACTTTTCTCTCTCCCTTACTTTTCTCTCCTACCAAACGTAGCATAAGATAGAAGTAGAAGTAAATAAAACAAGAAACAAACCCCAAAACATAGGACACAAAAGACAATCTGTTGTAGGGGCAAAATTATAAGTCGTTCGAGTATTTGTGGTAGTATAATTTTTTTCACATTCAGCTAAAATAGAGTCAATAATTTAAATAGATCAGACTTAAAATATCTAAATATAAGAAAAACTTATATAGTTAAACTCAACCTTAACATCTCAAACTTATTCAAATAAGTCTAAATAAACAAATTGTTAAATATTAATGGGAGAATTGCAATCAATCACTTCTCAAGAGAATTTATTGCAGATAAGGACTAATTTAAAATGAATTATTGTTAAAATGTGAAACATGATTTGTTATTTCTCAAATAGGACTTGTTGTTGGTTTTTGTCCATAATTAATTTCCTTGAGAAGGGGCTAGCTGTAATTGTCCCAATATTATTTTATTTTATTTTTAAATTTTATTTTTATTTTAGAAAATTAAGATTTTAAATTTTTTAATTTTATTTTAATATTATTTTATTAATAATAAAAATTTTGAGTATTCATGTTGAGCTCACTTAGATTCATGCTTGACCAAATTTTTTCAAGCTTATTCATGAGGCTTGAATAAGTCTGAAGTGAAAAAGATATTCTAAACTATCAAATTCCTTTAAGAATTTTCTAATTTATTTAGATTGATCCAAATTACTATCTCTAGTTAAAAATATCATGTTTAAAATGTAGTTAGTAAATATTCCATCGAATTAGATATACTTTTTAGCCAACTATACTGGATATTTTTTAAAAAACAAAAATCTCTCGAGGAAAGCCATTCAATAATTATTCAAAATATAAAAAACAGGTATATTTTTATATATCATTTTTAGATATCTACAAGATCAAGCTACTAACTGTTCTGATTAAATCCAAAACGTTCTGAATTTTGGATAATTTTATTTACATATACTTTATCAATTATCATTAAATTTTATATTTATTCTGATCTGACAAGCCATTTTTTAATTACTTTTATCCTAGTTCTAATAGATGTAATTAGAGTTTATCAGGAGCGGATCAAGATGACTCTTTTGTTTTGATAAAAGGATCTAAAATTTAAATTTCTCTTTAGAAACTCTATTCCAATACTTAAAAATTAAAATAAAATATTTATCCTGAAAAATCTAAAATCTATCTCCCTCAATCCTTATATATATATATATATATATATATATATTCATGAAAGGGCCTCTCATGCTTGTATTCATGCAGGAATTTTACTTATGGCTGACGATACCTTGCAGAGAATCTTCTTCGCCGTCATCGAGCATACTTTCGTAATTATAGTCTTTGCCGCTTTGCTTTGGCAACTTTGCCGTTACATTTTGGACCGGCGGCGCCGCTACCGCAGCAGTTCCCCTTCCGATGACGACGACGACATTCCCTCTGGTCTTCCTCTCTTCCACAACACTCCTCTTGACCCTTCGCTTTTCAAGTTCCTTCCCAGCTTCACCTACTCCTCCTCCTCCACCACCGCCGATGCAGACGAGAGCAGTGGCTCTCCTCTGGAGTGCGCCATCTGCTTGATCGAGTTCAAGGATCACCACAGAGGGCGAGTGCTTCCAAACTGCGACCACATCTTTCACCTCTATTGCATAGATAGGTGGCTCGGATCACACTCGACTTGCCCATTGTGCCGAAGGCTCGTCGATCCGCCGAGAATCAAGTCAGAGCATGAGAATAATGAAGCGTCTGGTGGAGAAGAATGTCAGTTAGAGGACGCGTCGAATGTAAACCTTCCTCCGCCGATTAGGTGCCCGAAAAAGACGATAGAATTGGGAGGAGTAATTCTAGAGATTCCTGACGAAGACCCTCGCCGAAGGTAGATCACGTCGTCGCGTGCTTCTGAGAGCTGGTTAACGGCTGGTGATTTAGCATATTTTTTGTATGCCTCATCAACTATAGCATTCCTTTTTCTTTTTCTTTTCCTTTTTTTTTCTTTTCCTTTCTCCTTTTTTTTTTTTTTTTTTTTTTTGCGCCATATACATCGAATCATTTATTCCTTTTCCATTGAATGAGTCTGCATGGCCTCACAAAAGCCACTGCTCCATTGAACTTTTACGAGAAAAATGTAATTTTTAATTTTTGTATTTTATTCATATTTTATTATAAATCTTTATATATTTTTTTTTATATTAGTTTTTTATACTTTTATTTTTTGATATTTTAGTGAACAAAATATAAGAACGTTAAAGGGACTCAGAACATCAAAAAATAAAAGTGTAGAACCTAAAACACAATATATATATATATAAGGACTTATAGCAAAATACAAGTAAAGGACTCAAAAATTATGTTTTTTCAATTTTGTAATATCTTTATGTATTCTGCCTCTTTAAAATACTTTTTTTTATGTATTAGATTATTTTTAGAAACAATGTTTAGAAGCTACTCAAAATAACTTTCTAAAATAATAAACAAAAATTTGAATTCCAATTATTTTCAAAAGTTTAAATAAACATCATAAAAACTTATAAAATAGATTTTGTCAAAAGTTAAAACTCTAAACATAATTAACTAATAATCACTTTTTTATTATTATAACAAGACATAAAATAATGCTTTCTTTTTATAAAATCTCTCTAAAATAAATCTCTTTTTATAAAATTTTTAAATTATTTAAAAATAAATTATTTTTTAATCTTAAACAAATAAGTCTATAATTTTTTTATTAAATTTTAATTAGTCATTACTCAGTACATGGTGATTCATATATTAAGTGCCTGTTTGTTTTAACTTATCTTATGAAAAAAAATATTTTTTTAAAATAATCTATTTTGTAAATTTTTATATTGTTTGTTTAAACTTTATTGATAATCAGAATCTGAAAAATTAATTTTTTTTACTATTTGAAAAATTTATTTTAAATATTTTTTAAAAATAATCTAATATGATAGATGAAAGATAATCCATTTGTTTAAAATTAAAAAATAAGTGATTAATAAATAGTTTAGAAATTTTATAAAAAATAATTATTCGTTAGTTATTTTTAAAGTTTATGATATATTTCTTGATTTCTGTTTTATAAAATAAGTTATTATTCTAAAATATATCACAAAATTAAAAATAACTAACTAATAATCATTTATTATTATTATAATCAAACATAAAATAATATTTTTTATAAAAATTTTAAATTATTTAAAAATTACTCATTTTTAATTTTAAACAAACAGCCATAATTGTTGTATATACTTGTTTATTCAAGCGCCGTTAAATAGTTGGTTATCGAACTATAAATTTTGTATTGATTGATGTATATTGAGATATTGATTGAATTAAAATTATTTACTTTGTAGTATATATTAATTTAATTATAATTTAGAAACAATTGGTAAACCTTTAAAAAATGAAATTATGAACAATTACTTCTACACTTCTCACAATAATTATCTTTACTTCTTCAGATGTTTAAAAACTATAAACATATTTGGTCAAAATATATTATCTACAAACATGCGCGCATCCTTTTAATCATTTTACAAATCCTTGCTACCTAATTTTGCAAATGCAAACCCTCATCATCATCTAATTTTGTAACATTTAATTTTGTAATTTTTTACTCGTGAAAATACACAGTAATACTAGTGTGTATAATTTATCAATCATTTTTTATGAAGTGTTCACTTGATCATATATATATATATATATATATATATCAAGATCCCAATTCTAGTTATATTTAAGTTTAAAAAATTATAAATTCTACTTTCAAAAGAATAAATGTATCTAGATTCATGCCACTGAAACAGTAATTTTGCTTGGCTAAAGGAAACGGTAATCAAACTGTCTAAATGATAGTGCAACGAAAAAATTTCATTAACTCACAAATAATTTGACAATGCAACACCTTAAAAATACGTGACTGACGCGTAAAAGCCAGAAATCTTGGAGGAAACTGGAAAGCATTTTGCACCTTGGTGACTTTCCTCTACTCCTCCTCCTTTTTTCTTTTTTCTTTTTTTTTGGGTCAAAGGTGACTTTCCTCTCCTTCATTTGCAAATGTGCATATATTATATATAACAGCTTCAATCTTCATCGATCGGTTCGAAGACATGATTGTCTATGAATTAGCCAATAAAAGTACCAAAGAAACAAAGGCAAACGTGGCGGTAGTTAGGAGGGAGAAAACTAGTTTTGAAGTTGCATTTGGCAGCCATGGGTAGGCATCAGGAGGAGGCATAACGCAGTTATCTCCATTGAAATAAATTCTCCGGGGAAAAGCCCAACCTTTGTCAAATGTGAAGGTTGATGCATCCTTTCTAAATAACAGCTCTGACTGTACATTCCCAAATTCTCCAGCTGATGACAGCAAATCGTTATAGAACTGTAATCCCCATAGCATGCCTGTATCATCTGCAAAATCCGGATTCCAAGTGATTACACAAGAACTGGAGCTGCGCCCTTTTTATTTGAAAATAGGTGGAAAAAATCAATTTAGTTGGTATAATGGGTATGTTTATTTTCCAGGCGGGGTCAACAAGCTGGAATTTGATCCGTTTGGTCCGTGATCAGAACGACTAGAATATGGGTAAGAAGAACAGAACTTACTCAAACCCTCGTAAGGTGTTAATGGCTTGTAATTAAAGCTAAAAAGCTGGGTCAGATTGTCAAAATTGGGGTGCTGCACAACAAGGTTCCATTGTGTATAGTTCATCCGGTAATTGAAATTCGTGACTGTGATCTTCACTCTCCAGTACTCTTTATAGTTGACTTTCACATGCCAATGCACTCGAATTGGACACATATGGCTGGTGCACTGGACAACAGGTGTATTACTAGCTTTGCCTGAAGATGCTACTACTGTGGCCAAGTGCGGGGAATTTGGGCTGTCAGACATAATTAGAAAGAATTCATCAGATGAGAACCAAAAAAGGGCTAAGTTTCACGTATTCTGTAGAAAATAATATCACGTGCTTACTCCACACAGCTTCCAGGCTCTGTTTTGTTTTGACAGCCACATGTGCAGGTTGGGCAGTTTACTATAGTATCATTATAGAAGGATGAAAGGGAAACACAGCAACTTGGGGTCTTTTGAGCAAGGAATTGAGAATATGTGCAGGTAACATTCCAGGTCACTGCCACAAAAGACGCAGATAAGGTTAAACAGATTTCAAGCTTGGTTTGAAAAGCATAATAATCATTGATACAACATTTATCAGACACCGCATCTAATAAAGGACAAAATCCAATGCAATTCTTTGAGTGTTTAACTGTTTATTATCAACTTAAACAAAACATGGCATTGTAGAGAAAATGAATGCGTGTAGATTGATGTAGGTTCTATCAAAGGAAGTGCTGGAAGACACAAGTAAAATCCCAAATTGCAGAGTCCTTTTCAATTAACTTACTCAATGCTTGAGTGGTTCTCCTTTTGTCATTGGTGACAAACTTGGTTGGTTTCACAATCTTCGCAGGGCCACAAGTGTATCCAGGCCCCGGTGCTTTGAGGGTGAAATTTCTAGGCAACTTGACAGTTTTGTTGGTAGTTCCAGCAAGGCCAACACTGACCTGAAATGAACTTACTGCTGTGGCTGGGTCCTGAGCCCATGAGTTCATTACTCCCCCTTTGCAGCAATTTGCAATCTGCTGATTGTACGGAGTTCCAGGAAGTAGATCCACCACCGTTGGATCCCTCTTGCAACAATGCGGGGGGTTCGCTTTGAACTTTGAGCAGTCACCTTGCTCGGTGGTTTGGGCTCCCATCATGTTCCAAATCACTTCCTTTTTAGCCCATGTCCATCCCAAGGTCCAGCCAGGGGCCTGAATGTGCCGATACTGTTGAAAGTTGTACATTGTAACCACAGCCTGCTTAAAATAACCAAGAAGGTTACAATATATGTTACAAAAAGGAAAGACAGCGACATACTCATTTCCCTTGATAAAATCATGTTAGAGTTTCATTGAAATACCAAGGTCAGTTTCGCTTTTGGACTAAATTATTAGTTGTTTCGTTGCCACTAAAGGCAGCCTATCCTGTCCTCCTCAAACATATTTATGCCGAAAGTCTCACTCTTACATAGTTCATAACTTATTCTATAGTACTCATCCAGTGACGTTTATACTGAAGAAATGGAATCAACACATAACTCGCAGAATTTTTCATATCAATTTATCTGTTACAGTATGAAAGCTATAATGATTTATTCTCAAAGACCATTTTGTTCCAAAGGTTTGGCGACAATATCTTCTAACGCTTACAACATAGCCATCTGGAGTCCAGCTTATGACATCCCATTTGATTGTTATGTTTCCACTTGGATCAAGAGGGTCATAGGCTTCTGTATGAAAGAGTCAGGACAATGAAAATCAGACTTGAATTCCACTATCATGAAAGCAAAAATAATGATAATAATAATAACCAGAGTTGTATTTTTTTTTTTAATACCAATTAATCGTTTCACAGAGATTATCAAAGGAAAATAAGAAAACAGAAATGACACTTAAGCCATGATTATTATCACGCTTCTTCAAGCTAGACAAAGTAACAGTGAGATGCTTTTAATTCCTCCTCTATTTTTCACCACTTGATTTTAAAGATGTTAAAAGATTTTCCAACCCACCCAATAAGATAAGGCTTGTTATTGTTGTAAAAGATTTGTAATTATGTCCCATCAAGTATGACCTTGAACTTCAATGGCAAGCTAGTATGGTTCTATGGAATGAACTGGAATGCACAATTAACATCAAGAAATGGAAAACTTCAAGCTCTCTGTTCTGTATTCTATTCACGAATAAGTACAAATCTCTGCAAATATTAGTTTTGAATAGCAAGCCAGAGCTATGAAGAAACACTAACGGCAAAAAGAGTATCAATTATAAGATCAGATCGGATTGTAGGG